AGGGTTCAGGACGGCTTAGGCTTTAGGGTTTAGGACGGTTTAAGGTTTTGGGGTTAGGACGGTTTAGGGTTTAGGGCCCAGAGCAGACCGGCATGGCCCCAGACGAACCAAGGATCAGGGTTGAAAGAGGTTCTGGGACACACGTACTTGTTATGCTACAGTTTGACGAGTGACAGCATCGTCAAGTAGCACATTGCTGCTATCCTCGGACCTCTGTACTAGAGACCTGGTACCGCTCCTGCTGCATAGCTTTCATGCCCTTCTGTAGCCATTGTGGACCATGCCCGGTAGTTGTCTAGATCCCTACAAGGCCCTACAAGCTACAACACCTGTAATGGCCACATATCTTAAGCTGTGAGTCCAGTACCAAAGGCACGCCCATGCAGCAAAGTAATGCGTCGCACTTCGGAACTGAGGTAAAGGTGTTCTCAAACTCGACCCTTCTATGCCGAAGCCGAGGAAAGTACGGTCCGGAACGCAAAGCTTTGTCAAGAAGCAGCTGCGGAATATGGATCTTTTTGCAAGTTCATGTGGCTGCTTGGTTGCAGTTGTTCAAGGGTTGGGTCTGAATCCGGCGCCGGCGAGGGAGAGACGGAAAGAGAGAGAGAGAGAGAGAGAGAGGGAGGGAGGGAGAGAGAGAGAGAGAGAGAAGAGAGAAAGATAGAAAGATAGAGAGAGACGGAGAGAAAACAAGTAGGCGATGTCCGAGTGACCAAACCAAAGCACAATACGTTCGAATCCACTGCCAATGTCTGACCATAGCCGATCAACCAAACTGTTCTTGAAGTTTTTGTTTGTCATGCCATCCTTCCGCATTTGGCGCGGTATCGCTTGGTCTTTGGATGATGAACATCCCCACGGCCGTTGTCCAGTAATAGTAAAGTATATACTTTTGGTTCCCACATATCTACTAAGTACCTGCTGTAATGGTGCCCCTAAACCCTAAACCCCAAACCCCTAAACCCTAAACCCTACTAAGTACCTGCTGTAATGGTGCTTGGACCCTGTGGGAATTCCCCACATTTTGCGGGATGCAGTGCGGTTCCGAAGGCATGCCTTGGCAGAAAGGCATGTGTCACAGGCTGAGGGTTTAGGGTTTCGGCCTTAGCATACATACCTACCTACCTATCTATGTCTCTATCTATCGGTCTATCTGTCTATTCAGACAGACCTAGCTATCTGTTATATCTGTGTAACTTATCTACCCGCACCTATCTGATCTGTGTGTCTAATCTACCAAATCCAACTAATCACTCTACTATCTAAACTAGCCGAAGTAACCTAGTCCTGTCCGAACTCAACCTCTAACATAGCCCAGCATTACCGCATCGAAACTGTTCTGGTTTATAAGCTCTTCTTGTCTAATCTAACCTGTCCTCCATCGATCCATCCATCCCAGCGATTCATCCGGCCATCAATCTATCTTTGGTATGCAAGCAAGCAAAGACAGAAAGAGAATGAGAGAGAGAGAGAGAGAGAGAGAGAGAGAGAGAGAGATAGTGAGGGTTTAGGGTTTAGGGTCAGAGAGAGAGATAGCGAGAGTTAGTTACACAGTCCACATGCAGTTGTGTTTGTTCAGTGTCATTACGTCGTGTCGTTTTCGTACTGCGCATGCTGCGTGCGATACACGGGCAAGGTCATGTACTTGTACACATGTAAAAGCCCATTCAAACGAAAACGTTAAGCATGTAAAACGGAAGTATAAATGCTTGGGTTATCAGGATTACAAGCACAAGCTGTTGGCTACATGACTATATGATACATGTCTAAGTCGAGGCTAGTACACACACACACACACTGTATGCATGCGTTGCGCCTGTGCTTACATACCTCGGCGAGCGTCTGTGTGTCTTCTTTTGTGCGTGCAGTTCTGTTTGTGTTCGGTTTGATGTGCACATACACACACTTGTTTGTCTTGGAGTGTCTACTGTGTCTCCGAAACACACGCCTGTCAACTCGTCGCCTTTCTCTGTCGCTCTCTCTCTCTCCCTCCCTCCCTCCCTCCCTCCCTCTCCCTGTCTCTCTCCCTCTCTCGCCCTCTCGCTCGCTCTTTCTGCAGACGGCAGATGCAGCTGCCCATCGTACAAGCTTTCATGCTGCAGCTTCCAGGACGTGCCAAGTTTCATCGCGAGCTGTCTCGGCCCAAGTTTCCATATTCCCCGGACCGGCTCCCCTGCTGGCTTCTTGGTGCACTTTGCGCCGCTTTCCTAATTCTTCTGTTGAATTCTGTACATCGGGATATCCGGCTGTCATCTCCGATGGGCTGTGGCGCGAGTGCGAAAGTCCATGATGCATCCTTCGAGCAAGTTGTCAGCAACGACACGCTCGTTGATCTGACAGAGAAGGCTCCGGTTTAGGGTTGTTTTGGTTTAGGGTTTAGGATTGGGTTTGGGGTTTAGGGTTCAGGGTGTAGGATTGGGGGTTTCGGGGTTCCGGGTGTTTGTTTTGGAGGGGAGGGGCGGGGTTAAGGTTCCCAAAGCCCTAAGCCAGGTCCCGCATTACTGAGCACTGAGGCCTAACGTCACGCAAAGCCCGAACCTGAGCCCCAAACACGCGAAATCACACGACACCAAAGCTCACACGAAGAGTTTACCCTAAACCCTAAACCCTAAACCCTTAAACCCTAAAACCCTAAACCCTAAACCCCTAAACCCTAAACCCTAAACCCTTATGCCGACCTCGCCAGGGTTTCGGGCTTGGGGGGTTTCGGAGTTCCGGGCTTGGGGGCTTTGGGGTTTCAGCGAGTTCAGGGTCTTGGGGCTCCGGCTGCCTTTAAAGGGATCCTTTAAGGGTCCCTTAAAGGGATCTATAAGGGTTCTATAAAGGGTTTAGGGTTTGGAGGTTCCGAAAATTAGGCGCTTGAGAGATTTACATGACTGAAAGCGTTTGGTATTACCTCAAGGGTCCAAAGAACTCAATAACAAGGTACTTGGTTTTAGGATAGTAGTTATGCAGGTCAGAGTTTGGGAGAGTATATGATTCTTGGGTACTTGGACCCTTGGGGTTGGGGTTGAGGCCCAGGAAGAACTGCTTCGTGCCCCATTTTTGGCAACTTCTATGCCCTGCATTACTCAAGGATCTATTAGTCCCTTCAAGGGATCTACAGGGTTTGCTTTAAGGGCTAGGTTCAGGCCTGAAACATCAGTGAATCCCCGTATGCCCTTCTGTAGATACATCGCAAGATACCCAAAAGCCTTGTGCAATAGGCGTTACGGTGCCGAACGCCGGAGGGTTCCACGGGGTACTTGCAGATTGAGGGTGAAGAACAAAACCTCAACCCCAACTTCCGTGTTCAAGCTAGGGTCAGGGCTGCAAAGCTGCGACTGAACCCAAGACATGTAGCCACAGCCCTGTTCGAATAGAAGCCTCAGGCCGCAAGCACCAGATCCTCACCCTCTTGTCAAGCTATCGTCCCTCGCAGATTGTAGTATAATCATCAAGGAATGACTCCCGTTGTCCGAAGAGGCCTTTTTATTCTTAGGTTACTGGGTATCCTGGTTACTTTAGGGTTCCTTTAAGGGTCCTTAGGGGTTTAGGGAATGACTCCCGTTGTCCGTGACATGTAAGGAACCACAGCACCAGCCGTTTTTCGCTGACGTCCCACCCTGTAGGTCCGTGCAGGATCCGCACCTGCAACTCGGGTTTAGGGCCAGGGTTAGGGTTTAGGGTTTAGGGTTTTGCCAGAGTTTAGGCCTAAACCCTATAAACCCACCAAGCGAGAGTTGTTTCTACGTTTTCGTGTTCGAGACCGCGGTCGGCTGTAAAGGTCTTAAGAGCAACCTGGTTGGCTCCTGAATTGAACTCCGAGAAGCACAAAATGGGAGTTTCCGAAAAATTAGGGGTACCTTATTTTGCCGTCCTTACAGTAGGGATCCGACTATTTAGCATACTATATTAATTAGGATCCCCTATTTTCGAAAAGTCCCAAACCTCAAAATCCTGCAATCTGCCCGTCAGGCTGCGATGACGGGCACCCCGCTACTTCGTGCAAGCACTTCCCAGCATCCAGTGCGATCCAAGTCAGGCACCATGGGCTCCAAACGCGGAAATTTCGAGAGGTAGGAGCATGGATATTTCGAGCAGCATTGTTGACGGAGTAGTTGTCGGTTTGTCGTCGTCGCTGTCGCATCTTGTCGCCAGTGTCACTGTCGTCGCCGTAGACATCCGACAACGAGGTCCATCGTCGTCGTCGGTGTCGTTGGCGTCGAACTGCCAGTATTCGTCAGCGTCGTCGCGTTGTGGTGTTCATAACTCATAACAGCATACCAGTAGCAGCAGTAGTAGCAGTAGTAGCAGTAGTAGCAGTAGTAGCAGTAGCAGCGGTAGCAGTAGGAGTAGTGGTAGTAGCCTGGTAGCAGTAGTAGTCGTCGTCGTAGCGTAGGAGGTCCTGCTGTTCTGAAGAAACTCTAGGAAGGGGAACATGTGAGAAAGGAGGTTCACTCACATCTCTAATTAGGACACACCTCGAGCAGTCTCGGATGTCCTGCTACTCCTAACTCCACCCCAGACCCGAAGGAGAGAGAGAGAGAGAGAGAGAGAGAGAGCTGAGTACGTGCTTCAGGTGCCCGTAATTGGCCTCAAGTTGCCTTCATCTCCAGTCCTCGATTTGGAGTTTCGGACACCAATAAACAGCGGAAAACCTGAAAAACGACAGGTGTTGAGCTCCTTCTGACGATCTTCCTGCTACATATCCTCAAATCGGCATAGGTTGGTTCGGATCTTCAGTGGTTTCAGCTTTTAGGTTCACAGACTGAGGCACTCCGCGGATTCCATTGAAGCTGAAGGGGAAACGGCCCGTTGGGCCATTGGCGCCACCCCATGGTAGTGGACGCTTTCTAATTGAGGAGAACTTCCCCTGGCACCAGGAGAGCTCTTCTATATATGTGAGTTGATTCAGGGGTCTTGAAAAGAGAGATTCTCGTGTTTAGCCAGTGCCGATGTTAGTTTTGATTCTTCCGGTACCGAAAGCTCAGGAAACCCACATACATGAAAATGAACACCTCCAGCCGTAAGAAGTCTTACACTACAAGAGAAGCCATGTAAGAATGCTACACACCCTGCAGTGACGATATGGAGACAGATTTATCAGTGGGAGAATGTCGGAGAGCACCTTCTTGCAAGGATTTCAGGATTGGCTGGCGCCCCTTTACGGTTTAAACTTGCTCTCGGTCTCTCTCTCTCACTCTCTCTGTCTCTCTCTCTCTCTATATATATATATATATACTCTATATATATATATATCCTATCTAATATTTGTGTATACATATATATATATATATATATGTATACATATACATATATCAGATAGGTGTACAAAGACCTTCAAGCTTTGGGTTTGTTGTTGAGGAGTTCTTAACCCCAAGAGAACCCAGCAAACTCCTAGCAGCTCGCACCCGGAAAGCTCAAGCCGCGCGCACCTCGGTGGTTCCTCGAAGTCTTTGCCAGTAGTAGAGCAGGCAACCTTCCACCCTTTTTGGGGTAGTATAGTCCCTATATAACTAAAAGGTTAACCTTTAGTTCCCCATGATACCCGACAAGTAGGCTTTCTAAGAGGGTTACTACCCAGGGTTTCGGGGGTTTAGGGTTTTAGGGTTTAGGGTTTAGGGGGTATAGGGTGACCATTCATGGTAACAGACATAGGATTACTGTTCAGGGCATCTCGAACAGCTTCTCACAAGCAACTCCTATCCCACAAAGCAGCCCTGCTGTATCACGAGCCCTCGGGTCCAAATCCCTGGCCCAAACTGCACACCCGCAACATGAAAGCACTGCATCTGAACCACCCCCCATACTTTCCCGAAGCCTCGAGGGCAAAGCCGCAACACCTCTAGCAAAGCCCCGACCGCTGAGTTAACAGTCTCCACTAAACCCCAAATTTGTATGACAATCTCCCGGCTTAGGGCTTGGAGTTTCGATCCCTGACTCTCTGAAACCTCCACAGCAGGAGCAAGCAGAAGCATATTATGCCAAGTCCATGGCTCGGCAGCGCATCGCATTCGACCGAGTCCTTGGAGATGCAACAGCCCAGCCGCAGGTCAGGGAGTTGAAGCAGTTCTCCATGTTGGTACATACTGCCAGGGTTGATATGGGAGTTTCCCAAAATGAGGGGTACCTTGTTTTGGGGTCCTTGTAATGAGGATCCTACTATATAGGGTCCCATATTAGGGTTCCCTATTTCGGAAACTCGCATACGTAAATCTGCCTGCAGTCTTTGCTGTCGTCGATAGCAGAAGGGTGAAGATTCGACAACAACAACGTCGACGACAGCAACACCAGCTACTACACCTAGATAATGTTCAGCCACCAAGTCTATTTCCATGACAGCGACGGTTACAACGACCGCTATGACAACGACGAGGAGTAAGACGACGACGACAACGACGACTACTACTACTACTACTACTGCTACTACTACTACGACTGCTACTACTACTACGACTGCTGCTACTACTACTACTACTACAACTACTACTACGACTGCTACTAGTACTAGTACTAGTACTACTACTAGTACTAGTACTAGTACTAGTACTAGTACTAGTATTAGTATTAGTACTAGTACTACTACTACTACTACTACTACTACTACTACTAGTAGTACTACTACTACTACTACTACTACTACGACTGCTACTAGTACTAGTACTAGTACTAGTACTAGTACTACTACTACGACTGCTACTAGTACTAGTACTAGTACTTGTACTAGTACTAGTACTAGTACTAGTACTAGTACTAGTACTAGTACTAGTACTAGTACTAGTACTAGTACTAGTACTACTACTACTACTACTACTACTACTACTACTACTACTACTACTACTACTACTACTACTACTACTACTACTACTACTTACTGCTACCACCACTTTCGAAAGACTCGAACGTAGTGACAGTGTTGCGCAGTTCACAGAACAACGAACGTTGCACCAGGCAACAGGACTCGCACAGTAGCTGGAGTTTAGGGTTTAGGGTTTAGGGCCCTAAACCCTAAATCCTAAACCCTAAACCGAGCGCGGTTCGGGATTTTGTATGCTGGCTTTGGCTGCCGGATGTGATTTCGAGGGAAAAGATCACTTTAAACTCGTGTAAGGGCTTGCCGCTCTAGGCTGGGGTTTGATTTGGGTTGGTGGGCTGTAAGGTTAGAGGGACTCTGGAAGTGTTTCGGGTCGAAGTCTTAGTGATGATAGTCTGCAGCATTTCATGGACGCTGCAACTACGGACAATGTATATGGGTGGTTGAGAGTTCACTTGGTGGGTTAAGAGATACGATGCAAACTTACCCACCGTTCGCACCATGCTTTTCTTGACTTGAATCCTGTCAACCCACGTCAGCTCTACGTCGCCACCTGGACGGTCACCTGAACTCTCTCTGCATATGTATTAATATATACATATGTGCACGTAGATGTGTGCGTGTAGTAGTGTGCATACATGTTCATTTTCTATTCATGCAACCACACACACACACATGCCCTGTACACGACGAGAAGCTGCAAACCCGAACATATATGCTTCACCGAACACCTTGCCACTCTTCACTTTCACTTCATACCCCGTTTCTCTCGCTGGACTATGCTATACCCCATACTCTATACTACTTACACTATATACAACATACTCGGTAACTATGATACTATAAATACCAGATTCCACCGAATTGCATAGTCGATAGTGGATACCATAGGTCTGACGGTATACAGAATATAGTAACAATGCTACTGCTTACACCGGATGCTAGATATCCTGTATACTGCAAGCTGTTCACGCTATTGTGTGTACGATATTATCGGAATACAGTATATAGAATAACATATCAATCTTTATGCTGCAACGACATGTGTAACACATGAAGTCCATGCACCCGCAGTGAGAGGACGATTTTTCCAACACGGACGTGCGTGACAGCTCGCTCCTTTCCAGACAGAGTGACATGGGTGCCTGAATTCCCTGTGACGCTAACGCTCCCTTTAGGGGTTCCCAATATATCAACTCAGCCTACCAAGAGCCTTTTGCGAAGATTTAGGCCTTCATCTTATGTGCGTCATCTTCGCCAGGCTTCTGGCTGTTACGGGGGCTTCAAGTTTTGGAGGTTTACATGCCAAAGCGGCCTGGCTAGGAAAGTGTGAGGGCTACCGGTAACCCCTGTTCAGGGTGGACGTCGCCAAGGACTGAGGACTTAGAGAGTTTGAAGCTAAGGCCTAAACGATTACCAATATCATTTTGGGGGTTCCTTAATATATTTGTAGTATAATATTCTTCAAAACCCTATTCTAACTCTTAAGGCCCCTACATTATGGTTCTGTGGGGCTTGGGGTTTGAGGGCTTCGCTCGGTGGGGCGTTTCTTTACTCTCTGCCTGGCCAAAGACCTATGTGCGTGGTTGTCAAGAATATGGTCCTCTTTTGGGCCCCTAATATAATGCGGCACCTACTATTTAGGGTACCAAAAACGGGACCCCATTTTGACAACTGCCCGTGTAGGGTTCTGAATGGGTTTCAAGACTTCGTATCTGGTTGGGCAAAGCTCACAGGGATTTGGGGTTGAAGGTTTCGCAGCCTTCGGCTATCATACCCTTAGGACTGAGGGGTAGGATAGGGTTGCCCGGGCCCACTATTGATAGCTTCTGTTATTCGCAGGCCGGATGCCCGATTCGATGCCTTGCCGCCAGGTGTAACATCCATGCCAATAGCTTAGAAGCTGCCCCCACTCTGTAATAGTGGTATAATAGGAATATAATAGGGCCCTAATATAATCCTATATAATCCTTATGGTCACTATTACAGGGTGGGGGCAGCTCCTAACCAATAGCATTAAGGACCCCAGCAGCAGACGAATTCTCGAAGTATCAAGGGCAGCCACTGCTGAAACCGGAGGCACTCGAGGCAGCTTAAGCACTATAGGATTAAGAGTGTGTTGGGCAGGAGTTGGGCTACAGGGTTTCAGGCATTTCATTTCTTTTCTGTTGCGGCCTCAGCCTGCAGTGTTGCTTGTGAGAAGGGTTTCAGGTATGATGGAAGAGTTTAGGGAACCATCAACTCTCACCCTAAACCCGAAACTCTAAACTGTAAACACCCTAACTAAACCCTAAATCCTAGACCCTAGACCGTAGGTTTTTGGATGTGCCTTTCCGTTCTGCTCTGTTCATCTCAGAATCGGCGACGCGACGTGCTCGAATCTGACCCTGGAGGCCTCGGTAGCATTGCACTGGCTCTTTCTCATGTCTTACGACATGGCATAATGTGCCATTTTATATGTATATACACATCCAGGTATAAAGTATATAGATAGACAGGTAGATAGATAGACAGATAGGTAATTACGTACGCGCTGCTATCTGGATATCTGCATGCCGCATGCCTGAGTTTCAGGGTTTATGTGTGGTTGTATAGAGCAATATCTGTATTTCTCTCTCTCTCTCTCTCTCTCTGCATGAGTACATATGTATGTGTATGTATATATACACACATAATATATATATATATATATACATATATACAGACATATATATATATATATATATATATATATATATATACATGCACACATACGCATGTGTGTATGCATGTAAGTCAGTATGTATGTAATTATGCATGTACTGTCTGTATGCACACATGCGTGCAGGTATGTATGTGTGCATGCATGGGTGCACGAGTGTTGTCTGTATGGATGCACTTGTAACTTGTATATACGGTCTTCAAGGGCTTAGGGTTTGTGGGTAGTCAGGTTTGGGAAGTGGCAGCTTAGGGCTTCAGGAACAAAGAAGTCTCTGGTTGAGAGGCGTCCTGACGATGCTTAGCAGGCGAGCTTACGAAAGTAGACACCACAGCACCACTATGACACCTGCCTTCTAGCAAACGATGTGGAACACCTCTAGCTCTGAAACATAAAGCTCCAAACTGAAAATGAACTGAACTCCTGCGCTGCGATCTGACCTGGAGGGGTTAGTGGGGGCGCAACAGGATGACGGGATTCTATACACTACACACGGATTGCGGGGGGGAGGGGGCTGGGTGTCCCATGTATGTATGTATGTATGTATGTATGCATGTACGTATGTATGTATGTACGTACGTATGTATGTATGTGTGTACGTTGAAAGTAGACAACTCTAATTGTATAATGTAGAGGTGTTTAAAAGTGCATGGGTCTGCACTGTTCGGAAAACTGAACAAATCTGGCCACCTGTTGCACAGCAAAGTTTGTATGCACTGTTGTTCTTTAATGCTTGCCTGTGCATGTGAATGTAAAGGTCTTTGTTCAAGTTACGGCAGAATTGTGGCACCCGTATGGCTAGTGCTACAGCTGAGATTGCTGGCACTGTCCTCACGTCGTGCGTGGGCGCAAGTCATGTGCTGCAGGCCTCGTGCTGATCCAGGTCTGCCACGACGACAACAAGGTGGACAGCTCACTGGTGGCAGCAAATCGCAACACATCGACCGAAATCTCCCAGTGTTTATGACTCGGCTCAGCGCGAGGATCCCGTGCTTCAGTTCGTAAACTTCACGACGGGTTGCACATCCCATTTGTTCCTGCAACCCTTTCACTCCAGCTTCAAGCGCAAGCCTGGGGTTATAGTTCTCCTACTGTGGTCCTGTACTCCTATACTAGCATGCTGCTGCCGGAGTTGTCCAATGCAGAAGAAGCCAGAAAGTTGGGACATCACTGTCCGTGCCGTAGAGTCGTGTGGAAAGGAGCACAGCACATATTATATGTTTGCCATGTCAATGTTCCACCTTGCCGGCCTCTACCACAGAAGAGTTGCAAGTGCGCTGCGGTGCAGGAGAGTAGCTAGCGCAAGGAATCGCAATTCGTTGGACGAAGATGTATATTGGGGAAAATGCCCAGCTTTTGATTCCCATGTCTGACCTAGAGAAATGGATTAATGATTGGATTAATGATTGTTTTGTTGGTTTTCGGCTTGTGCCACGGTTTAAGGGTAGTGACTCAGGCGAGATGCAAAAGCCAAGTTCTTGCTGGGTCATTGTTTGGAAACGCTACTGGTACTGCCTTCGATGCACTATGTATCATTGCTAGAGCTGTTGCTGTCGTTGCAGCCATTCACACGTTGTTGTCACGATTGTCGTAACGGTCATGCAAAACAATGTCGGAACTTTCTTATCCCTGCCTTCTGATTTTGGAGGAATGGTAAGCACGGTTTGTAATTACGGGTGCAGGTGACTGAGAGAAGTGTAGGATGATCAGACTATCGAATCCTGCGCTAGAGAGATATTCGCCTGGGCCTGAAAAGCGCCCTGAATCGAACCGGCCGGCCGGCTGCGCAAAAGCACCTGACGTGCGCAAACACAAGCTCGAGTTGTAAGCAGCCTCTCCTGCAGACACGGTGGTTTCCTGTCATCTTACCCACTGTACTCCTCTTGTCATCAGATTGCTGTTGTTACATGCTGTTTGTTGTTCGTTGTTTGGTGCGTATTGTTTGCTGCCTTTGCCGCTGCAACTGTAGTGGTCGTGGTTGTTTGGTTGTCTGGTCGTGGTCGTGGTCGTGGTTGTTGTGGTTGCTGTTGCTGTTATTGTTGTTGCCGCTACGGTTCACAGCAGGCATCTCAGCTGTGCTAACCAGGTTCGGGCGCAACTCTACAGGTTTGCAACGGGCTCCTTTGTGAAGCGTAAGGGATGTTCTTTTGTTTGAGCCATTTGAGACTGCTTCTGAGCCTCGTGCCTCTGTGAATTGCTGGGTCCCCATTCCCGGGCCTCCTTGCGACAGCAAGTTCTGGACGAGCTGGCGGTAAGTGGTATGTTTCCACCTTTCCGTGCGGCGGAAGGAACAGTGTTTGGTTTACACCAAGTGTTGCGAACTAGCGGATGGCGAGCCGACTGTGCGTCCGTGTTGTTGTTGTTGTTGGTGTTGGCTGTTGGCTGTTGGCTGTTGGCTGTTGACTGTTGACTGTTGGCTGTTGGCTGTTGGCTGTTGGCTGTTGGCTGTTGGCTGTTGGCTGTTGGCTGTTGGCTGTTGGCTGTTGGCTGTTGGCTGTTGGCTGTTGGCTGTTGGCTGTTGGCTGTTGGCTGTTGGTTGGTTGGTTGGTTGGTTCTTGTAGTTCTTGCTCTGCTTGTTTTTGTTATTGTTCTTGTTCTTGGTTGTTGTTGTTGTCGTTGCTGTTGGTGGTGTTGTGGTTGTGGTTGTGGTTGTTATGGTGGTTATTGCTGCTGCTACCGCTGCTCCTGCTGCTGCTGGTGTTGCGGTTGTGGTTTTGTTTTTGCTCTTGTTGTTGGGTGCTGTTGCTGGTGAAGGTGCTGGTGCTGGTGCCGGCGCTACTGCAGCAGGCCTTGCCGCGGGTGCTGCTGTGCAGCTGGTGGTGCTGCTGGTGCTGGCGCTGGTGCTGCTGCTGGTGCTTGTGGGTGGTGGGTGGTGGTGGTACTGTTGTTGTTGCTGGTGTTGTTGTAGTTCGGTTATAATCAGTGTTTAGACTGTGCTCCCGGGAATGTTTCAGAATAAATCGCTCAAGCCACACTTTTGAATTCTCCTTCCTGGACAAGGGCAGTCCTGCCGGCCCGCACACGATGTGCCGAGAATGAAAGGCCTTTGCTCCGGAGGTTTCGCTGAGGGCGTCGGAGTTAATTCTTGCTTGATGGGTTCCGTCTAGGGCTTTGATTTGGGGCATCCCTGCTCACCCATCACTGGTGTGTTCTCGACGGCAGATACCTCCTTTTGCTCTTGCACATGGCTCGATCCAGAGTTCTAAATTTTTGATACACTCAATTTGCGTGCTCTGGCCCTTCCTGCCTGGCTGGTGTGGCCGGATGCCAAGTTTCGTTTAGTGATCTAGTCCCTCTTCAGTCTGACGTTGCCGCCCTGGCTGGGCCAAGTACGCTATAGGCTAATTTTCATTGCCCCTTTGCACCGAACCAGAACCACAAGGTTTAGATCCACAGGGCTTTTTCGACAGAGTTGGC